GGTCTCCGTTTTTAGTGGGATTAAAAATAACTCCGGGGCCCGTCATGCAGACTCCAGTTTACCATTTATGACTCACTCGTTTCAGTTTTGTTGTGTGAGGCTTTTGTGAAGAAACAGACGTATTTTTAAAGAACATTTCCATAAAGAGTTTTTTTTTTCTTTTGTGGGAGTAGAGCAGGAGTGGGAAGGACAAGCGAGAGGGACAGAGAAGAAACCAGGGACCTAGTTTCATATTATTTTCAGACAAATTAAAATCCTTTCATTTCTAAGTACATTTTTAAAAATGCATGAAATTAGGAAGCAGACATCTCAGCTCACCCTCTCTGGGGGGGTTCCCCTGGCAAGGTGGCCCCTCTGTCCCAGGCCAGCCACTACTGGCTGCACCACCCGACCCCCTGGACCCCAGAGAGAAAGGACTGGGCGCCAGCCTAGCCAGGTTTTCCGGACTTGCAAGGAGGCTTGCCTCTCCTCGGGCGGTCTGCGAGGGCTCCACATGTTATTTGCTGCTCTGCATGAATGCCGAGGCGGCCAGGCTAAGGCCTGCGGCGCTGCAGGCCACGGCGGCGCTGGATCCTGGAGAGGCACACAGAGGTGAGGGACCTGGAGCCCTCCAGATCTCACAGTGCCTTGAATGAAATCATTAAACACTTCATTACATTTTTTTTAACAGGCCATAAAACCCCCTGCTAGAGATTGGTAGCATAGAATTCTTCCAGCCAAACAGTGGCACATGTGACAAACCACCAAGGGGACAAGTGCTGTGTGCTCTGTTTCCAGGAAGGAGGCGGGGAAGGTGTCTAAGACATATTTATTGTCACTCACACACGGACATGAATGTCAGAGGCCAAGCCAGGATTAGATGTGCATCCCATTTTCTGGTGCAAAGGACATTTTGATTAATTAAAATGTTAAAACCTCCGGTTGGAGCGCTGTTGTTACTGGCTGCATTTCCCTGGCTGACTTCTCAGGGTGCTGGGTTGGAGTCAGCACTGCAGGGAAGCAGTGTAACCAGGGAGCCTGCCCTCATTGCTGGGTTGTGTCGGGTGGGGGAGGGGAGATGGGAGCCAGAATGAGGGGTGCCTGTGACCCCAGTGTGTGCCCCAAATCTCTGCTTCTGCAGCACACACAAAGACACAGTGGTCTGATTCTCTGCCTTTGATAAGGATGCTGCACACCTCCTCGCCAGCTTAGGTTGTCTTAATTAACAGCCACTCAGTGAGTATCTGCTGGCACAGGAACTCTGACGGGGCTGGTAAAAAGTGGAAAGCAGTGTGTTCACAACTTTCCAAATTTTATGCAAATTTTAAGTGGTTATTTTCAAAAGTCTAATTTAATGCACCACATTTAAAATCATGCAAATCACTAGAAATTTTGAAAGTCTTTCAGGAGCCACATACTCTGCAAGCTGGCAAGCCAAGTGCATTTGGCAGCATGAAGGCCCCCAGTGGCCTACAGAGCAGGAGTCCCACCCAGCAGAGCCTGGGACCTGCCCTGGGCTCAGACTGCATCAGTGTGAAACCTGAGCCTGACCCTCCAGGTCTCTGTCTTGGCCCCAGTTGTCCTAGATTTTAGGCCCAATAAACCACACTGGCTCTGGACCCTTTGTGTGACCCCACATTCACTCTTGCTCCAATTCAAAATATGTTTGCATCTTACAGCAATGTTAAAAATCTCTGGCAGTTATGTAGCAGAAGCTCTTGTCATGATAACTCAGGCAATGCCTCCAACAATGATCCCTCCATTCCAGAGCAGAGAGACCTTGAGCCATTACATAGGAGAACCAGTTTCCAAGTCAGCTGCCCTGGCCCCTTCCTGCCTCAGCAGCTCTGTGGCCTGCCACCCTGCACTGCTAGAGCTGAGTCTCCCACAGAGGTAAAAGGCAAAGCAGCCACCGGGAAGCAGTCCTGTTACTCTTGAACAGGTGGATCTTGCATTGTGTCTATGTAGACCTACTTGCCTTTATAAAATGCCCATCCTGGCCTCAAGGAGTTTCAGAGAGAGTTGATAGAGTAGATTCGATGGTTACACCACACTACCTGCTTAGAGACCCTCTTCCTCACCCACACATGTGTCTTTTTGAATAGTGACAAGCTTAGCTTTTCATGATGTGTAAGTGTAAAAATATTATCTGTGGGACCACCATTGTGGCATAGCAGGTGACACTGGCACTGGGACACCAACTTCTCACATGAGCAATGGTTCTTGTCCCAGCTGCTCTACTTCAAGTAAAGCTCCCTGTTAATGTCCTGGGAAAAGTAGTGGAGGATGGCCCACGTGTCCCAGCCCCTTCCACCCAAGTGAAAACTCAGATGAAGCTCTTGGTTCCTGGCTTCAGCCTGATCCAGCACTCGCCATTGTGGCCATCTAGGGAGTGAGCCAATGGAGTGAAGGGGTGTGTGTGTGTGCGTGTGCGCGTGCATGTGCCTGCCTCTCACACTCTGTAACTCCAACTTTCAAAATAAATTCCTCTTTGTAAAGTCACTTATGTTCAACATGTAGCTTATTGTGGCAGGTAATTCTTGAACTTGGAATTGCAAACAGACAGACATGGCAAGGGCTCTGGACCCCATGTGGGGAAAACTGCAGTCTAGCAAGTGGCCACAGGTCTTTCCCCACCATCTATGGCAAATGGAACCTGTTCCCCACAGCTCTCATAGGCTTCTCAGCCTGAATCCAAGTCTACAACAAAAAGCCAGTGTTCTCTACCCCTAGTTGTAACCTAATGGCCATATTTAAGGTCCTGAACTATCTGGAATCACCTTCTCCCATCTCCCAGAAGCCTTGCTTCACCTTAGCAGTGACAAGCAGTGGACAGAGCAACCCCATACTGTTAGGGATATGCCAGTCACACACTAGCTGTGTGCACAAGATTTTTGCTCAAGACTCAGAGCAGATAGTTCTCTGAGATTATGGTAGAAAAACATTCCTTCCTGGAAGCACACAAGCTTCTCGTTTCTGTTGTTACCTTCTAAATGCCTTGAGCCTTTGTCCATGAATCATAGGAGTCTGCTCCTCATCACTTGATATCCTTGCACTTCCAAAATAACGAAGTTGTGCCTGTGCGTATATTTTGGAATATATATGTTGGAAGCTATGCACAACTTATATGTTAATGCATTTTTTCCAAGTTCATGCTGCTTCAACAAAAACAACGCATAAGAGATGCAGTGATCCTTTCCCAGAATCCAGCTGGCTTTGACACCTGTCTCAGTCCCTACAAGTGCACGGCTTTAGTTCTCGATCTCAGAAGAGCCCCTGTGATTTCCTAGTGTGCGCAGCAGCCAGCTGCCCTGTGGCACTTCCACCCTGCTTCAGGACAGGCTGTGTATGCGTTCCTCATCCATCCCTACAACTCTACAGAAGAGTGTTCACGTTTGTCAGCACATGAGCTTTTCCAAGATGTAGTCTCCTTTGAGAAGCTTCAGCCTTACATACTGTTGGCCGAACTACAGAGAGAGATAACCTATTTACATACTAAAAAGGTCAGTGTTGGACAGTCGGCAGTTAGAGAGGAATCTGCTGCTGGGTGTAACTGGAGCAGAAGGATTGGTGAGAAGCTGGTAATTTGGCTGTCCCTTTATCTGCATAGACAGCAAGCACTGGTAAACATGAGGATGTCTGTTCTGATCTGCGACACTGGCATTGGGCAGAGAAGCCCAGCGGTGGCCATGCTCGCTCGCTGCCCAGAGCCTCGCTGTCTGGTCTGTTACTGCAGGACCATGTCAGTCTCACCTACTAAAAGCTATAATTAGTTTCAGGTGGAAACATTTGAACATTTGAATAATAACTTTTCAGATTCTGTTAGTAAAACACAAGCCACCCTATAGATTTCGCATTGTGCGACTGATGCTCAGTCAGTCCCCCATTTGCACTAAGAAGGGTTGGTTTCCAGAGGGCTAGAAGCATTTCTCTTTGTGTTTTTTCTGAAAAGTCTCTTTAAATATCAGCCGTTTTATTTTGCTAATGTGGATTGAAAGTAACTTTAAAGATGTCATTATCAAGCCATTTGTTTTCTCTGCAATTTCTGTAATATTGTCACTCCTTCTCTGTGGATGCAAGGCAAAATAACTAGGGGGTTGAGGTCCTCGCTACATCTTAAGGATCAGACTGCATCCCAAGAACTCAGTCAGTCTTGAAGGTGCAAAGTCAGTACAGAGGCTGCTGATAGTGTGAGGCCGAAGTGCCTCCTGATGCCAGCAAAGTCCTCCCCCTTACAAGAGCAGCTTGTCTTGAACAAGCCAGCAGCAAGCATCCTTTGTGCCTGAGAAACCGCGGTACGTTCAGAGCTGTGCAGGGAGAAGAGGATGCCCCATGTGAGGCTGCCTGTGGCAGGGAAGTCCCACCCCGGCCGTGACTGCTGTCCAGAAGTCCCTGGCTGCCACACGATTTCACGCCAGCCAGGTGAGGCCATCCTGTCTTGAGGGGGATCTAAAGTGGCAGCTGATGTCTCCCTGCCTCCCCTGGGGTCGCTGTGCTGCATTTCGTGCTCTGTCACCCCGGGGGTTTGCAGAGCCAGCTGTGGACCTAGCCTGTTCTCTCTCGAGAGATGTTTGCAGCAGCCGCCAGAAAGACATGGTTCTTTGTGTGCATGCACAGCCCAGATGGCTCAGTGTGGCAGCCTGCTTAATATTCACATTCTGCATGGTCTTTGATTCCTCTGATTCTTGATTCAAGGAGAGGGAAGCCAGAGGCAGTGACAAGCCAGTTCTCAACTGCCCATCAGGCAGTGTCTCAGAGAGAATATTTGAACTTGGTTAGCGAACAGCCGCAGTCTTCTGGGCCTTAGGTGATATCTGATTTTCATGACCATGTTTTAAAATAGATCAGTGGTATAGACTGTGCTCTGGGACCCCTCTGGCAGTAGCCCTGCAGGATCAGTAAGATGAGGGCTGTGACTGCCTGCACCTCACCTAAGCTGACTCGGGGCCTCTGTCACAATACTGACCTGACTTGCGGCAGATGCACAGAGCCCGTGCTCATTCCGCTCTCCTCTCTTGCAGAATACTCAGCCGAGCAGATTCAGCAGGCGCTTCACCAGTCGGTCTTTATGTCCTCCATGTTTGTCCACCCTTTCCGGGACCTCCCCCTGAACAGGGAGCGGCACTGTAAGCTGCTTCCAGGCGTGGCGGACATCCAGGCCAACCAAGTGCCCCAGTGGACGGTGGATGAGGTGAGCAGAGCTGCTCTGGGGTGCTGGGATGGGATAGGCAGGCTGCTGAGGTTCTCTCACCAGGCCTGGGAGGATGCCCTTTCTTTGTGGGTGTGGCATCCACTAAGTCAAATTCACAGTCTTAGTTGGAGGGAGAAGCAAAGTACAGTTATCAGGAAGTGGAGATAGCCTGTGGCCTGTCCAGTTAGTCCTCCACTTCCTTTCCCCCAATACCATCTGTGCCCAGCACCATCTGCCCAAGACAATAGAAGCACAGAAGCCTAAGCCTCCAGTTCCACCAGGACAAATGGAGCAGCATCTTGGGACTGCATCCCAGCAACATCCCTCAAGAAACAAACACCACCCCGGGTGTGCCCCCTTCAGAGCAGGCCCCGTGACCTGCAGAACCCTGGGTCAGCCTACATACGGTTGCTCATGGTCTTATGTCAGATGCTGTAAGGAGGGTTCAGGTTTTAATATAAATGTGTCTTGCAGTACTGGTTTCTAGTGAGGATCCATTAAGCCCCATTGCCTACTAGAATGTTATAGAGATCCTTCATGCTTAAAACAATATGCTTTTAATAAGTACATTGAATTAATATATATACTATTATATATTATTATATATATTATTATGCATAATATATTATTTATATATATATTGTTTTCACTAGTCAAGCATTAGATATATATTTTTTTCTAATTAAGGAGAATCTAGATCACCTTGAGGTCAAGATAATAGCTGGAGCTGAAGTTAAATCAGGCACAGAATGTTAGCTGAGTGCCTACTGCAATCACCTTCCGCTAGTCTTGACTGAAGACTTCCTTTCCAGCTGTGAGCCAATGAGCAGGCAGGGCTAGAAGCCACTCAGATACCAGGGCTGTCAGATTGGGAGGCCTGAAGCCAGCCTGTCCCTGCCTTCTCCCCACACCCCTCCAATAGTGAGCCCCACATTCCTGTGTCTTGCCTACCCAGCTGTGAGGCAGAACACTATGGCATTGTTTTCCCAGAATGCCTTGCTTCCCCTCCCCGTTCCTTGAACGGCCCAGATGGTCCTGGGAACGGAAAGCTGGCTGAACTCACCAGGCTCTGGCTGGGTGTCTGCAGCGGCGGCTGGCAGGCACACCTTCTCAGTAAAGCAAATGTAGAGTCTGCTCCTGGTTTATGAATATTTTCAAGTTCGCCAAGTCTGTAAGCCACTTCAGGACCAAGCCCACCAAACTAAAACCTGTTATGCTAATCAAATCACAATGGTAACACTGCGGAGAAAGGGAGTGCAGCTGGGAACTAAGTGGCCAGGCCTTCGTTCTCAATTTCCCAGCCGTTTATCCCAAGTCCTGCCTGGGAGTCTGACAGAGGGCCTTCTTCTCTTACTGCTCCCCAGTGTCCTGCACACAGAGTGATGGCATGGGCAGAACAGCTGCCCACGTTGCAGGCCTAGCTCTGCTCTCATCTCACCTTGCTGTGGGCTAGAAGGGAGCACTTAGGACCCCTGCACCCTGGAATACAGAGAAATTGAGTCCTGACCATGGGAGACTGGTGGAGAAGGGAGACATGTGACATGTCTGCCCAATTCAGAACAGTCCCTGGCTCCTGATACCATTCATAGCCACACAGTCAGACCATGTCTGTCTTTCCACTCTGACCCTCCTTTCCTGCCCCCTCCCATGCTACCACTGCTACCAGCAAACCACAGCTTCAGCACTAAACTATGAAGTCAGCAGCAGCACAGGGAAGGAGGCTAGGCCTCGAACACAGAAGAATAAAATGATCCCAGTGCAGTTCAGTTTGTAGTCGCAGCACTACACCTGCTTGATGAGCTTGAGAATGAGTGGGAGTTCTGAAGGAACAGAAAACTGCTCAGCCCAATGTGAGACTTTGAGGAAAGGACCCAGTGTGGGAGCAGGGACCAATTTGGGGAAGCTGGGAAGGTACTTGGCACAGGTGCCTAAGTGGGCAGCCCCAGCTAAAGAGTACAGTTGGAGAGGTGCCCCCAAAGGCCTCTGGGGAAGAGCTAGGGAGAAGAACCAGAAAACGGACAGATTCTCCAAGAAGCAAGGTGTGAGCTCATTCAGTGCCCAGGACGGGTCAGATCAGGGGTCCTGGCTGGGGCGGCCAAGCCAGGCTTCAGGAGCTTCAGGAAACTATCCTGCGTGTGTACCTGTTCACGGCCAGCACACTCCTTACTTCTCAGGTCCCTTCATGAAAACAAAAGCAGAGGGAAGTGGGGCGGAAGCAGCTGGCTCCTGACTGATGAGTTCTGAGTTAATATCGAAGGAAATCAGGATAATGAATAAAGGGAGTTGCTGATTCAGATCAAGTCTCACTGGGCCAGGGAGGGTCTCAGGATGAAGACTCAAGGGAAGGGGACTGGAATCTGTCCAGGACTGGCTGGAAAGCTGGGGTCCCACTTCCTAAGCTCTCTGGATAGGTTCACATGGACCCACAGCCTTTTACCACTGGAAAAGGCCGGAGAGCATAGGAAGATTTTTCTTGGAAACAACCATCAGAGACAACAAAATGCCTTGCATTCCCGCTTGTGATGCCTCATGAAGCTTTCATAACCATGACTTCCATCTGGGAAGTATCCCAGAGACCAAGTTCATTATTCCCAACATTGAACGTATTTAAGTCTCCAGAGCTTATAGCGAGATGCCCTCAGGGACAAGGACTTAGTGCTAAACCTTTTCCTGTATCCTGTCCCACTACCCACATTTCCATCACCAAAACAGGTCTAAGAGAATTACCTTGAATGGGCTGTCAATGGGCCCTTGGGACTGTTCTGTTTGTGGCTTTAATTGACAGGGAAGTTCTCAGTAGGGCAGCTACGTAAGAGGTACTGAGTGAATACCAACCAAAAGCACTGTCAGGTCACAGTAGCTGTCCAAGAGCCAGTCCGCAGGGCCCCTGGGAGTGTTTTGTGCTTGGTTGTCTCTGGGCACATTGGAGAGCAGGGGCAAGGCGTGTTGAAAAGAGTTCAAGCATGTTGTACTAAGTACCACTCAGTGAGACTTAATGCCAGGTGGTGATGGCCAGGTGGTATATATCCCTGTGTACACAGTAGTGGCTTGGGAGGGCATCTCTGCTCTGCACCAGCACAGGGCGTTGTCACTTGCCACAGAGCCCTTGGCAGCCTTTGAACTCCCTGGTTTCCGTGGCTGCTTGGTAGTTTTCAAAGTGTGAATGGACTGTGAAGTCAGCTTTGTGCTCATGAGTTGAAAGCTAAGAGTTGAGCCTACCTAACATGTTACAGAGGTTTCCGCTTTGCAAAGCCTTGGCTAGCAGCAGGAGGAGGGGTGTGCGTGCTGAGTTACCGTCAGTGTAAAGCGAGCAGGGGTACCATTTAAGAAGTTGGTGGAAAATGAACTTAAAAGATAAAGGATTTTTTTAAACAAAAATTTGAAATTTATTTTGTAAGATACAATCTATGTCACTGTAGTTGTTCTTTTTTTTTTTTTTTAATTTTATGGTACAATTCCATAGAGTCTGGGATTGAAATCCATTTTTTATAATATTCATTTTCCATTAATTTCTTGAAGATGCCTCATATTTGATATTCTGGGTTTTTTTTTAATACCCTGTATGAAAGTTCATGCTTTTGGAATAGGATATTTCATATCATCTGCACCTTCAAAGCCAATCATCCTGTACTGAGCAGGTGCCTGACAAGTGCTGAATGAATGAGTGAATGAATGAAGTCCCTTCATTCCTGCCAGGCGTGTGTCCAGGCACATAGGTGCAGGGTACCACCTGTCAGGAGCAGGGTAGCATTATTTTCAAAAATGCTATGGAAAGTACCCCTTGTAAGTTCCCCGTGCAAGAAATGCCCAAATGCTCATTAACTGCGAAGGATGACAGTCACTGCGAAAGTTTACACAGGAGGGGGTGCTTGAAAAATCCAGGGTACTGCTCACTAACCATAGTTGCCTTATACTGTTGAGCCCTTTTAAAGTAAATAAATAAATAAATAAATAAGCTCTGTGGCTAAAATATGAGAGGCAGACTGGAGACACTGTCCCACACAGCCAGAGAGGCATCTCCAGGCTCAGAAAAATGAGAGGACACCACTGTGCAGCAAGATTGAAGGACCAGCATGCCTCTTCCCTCACCCCTCCCCGATCCCTGAAGGACACAAGGCATGCTGAGCTGCAGAGAGCAAGCGAGAGAAAGCAGGTTGTGGGGTGCATGATTGGGTAAAGCAATGGGCTCCTCTGTGGAAACCCTGGGCAGGGTCACCCCCAACAGCTCTTGTCTCATAGCCGGATCCAGCTTACTCAGTGTCCTTCCAAAGTAAGGCAGGGTTTTCGTCATAGGGCGCTGAGCAGGCAGGAAATGTTGGATGCTCTGAGCTAACACCAGTGCCCTGGGATTCCCACCAGGCTCTCATCCCAGGCCCATCAATGATCATGCGGGGGCGGGGGGACAAGCAGGTGGCCATTTCCTTTCTCATCACTTGCTCTCATCTGAACAGCTGTCCACAGTTTACCATGAACTTGAGAGTGAAAGAAGTCTTCTATAGGGACAATGAGAGGGAAACTTTGTGATGTTAGTCTATGGTGTGTTTAAGCTAGCCACTTACATGTGGAAAATTCAAAGCAATCCCATCTTTCTACTGAAATTCAAAATACAAGTTGTTCTTCAGGACCTTGTAAACCAGCTAATTACCCGGAATCCAGAGCTTTGGGGATTTTTCAATTCTTAAAGTATCATCTCAATAGGTTTTGTGAAATTTGTCCTGTACTTTGGGAAAGAAAGAAAGGGAATGTCTTACATGAATGGCTAGGAATTCAGATGAGGGGACAGCCAAGGAGCCCACAGCTGCCCCATAGACTGCAGACCTCAGAGCACTGGCGAGGAGGCACAGGCACTGGGCTGACGTTGACCAAGGCCACCTTCTGGGCAGCACCCGCTCTGTTCTGTTGACACTGTGGTTCAGCACATTATTTATTCCCATTAAAAATCCAATTTACCTCTGACACAGACAGTGATTTCCTGGCTAACAAAATGAAGGAAGAAGGATGTGGGCCTTTTTTCATTTGTTTGCCCAGAAAAGGACAGTTTAACATATGCAAACCATCAAAGCTACTGGCAACACTTGCTCTGTGAACAGAAGCCCTTTGAAACAACTATTTCAGAGCCCTCTTTCCAATCAGCCACCTCATTCTGAAAGTGAGCCTGGCACTGGCATGGCTTCCCCACAGCAGCTGGTAATGGTGGAACCAAATGTGGCTATTCAGCTGATTTCTGGTCATTCATCTCTATCTTTATGACATTGCATCTTTCTGTGAAAAGGTGACCCCTACAGAAGAGCCTTTCTGCGCATGAACATGAGGCAACATCCAGACACGTGTTTGGATGTCCCAGGTGGGATGGGCGCATTGCTACAGATCCCTGCCAAGTGGAGACCAGGGACACTACTCAACCCATGCAGTGCCCGGGGCAGCCCTCAACACAGAGAATGAGGTAGCCCAAAGTATCAGGGAAATTGAAGCTGAGCAGTTGTGCTCGCAGGCCTGCTGCCCACCCTCAGCTTTCATTCCTTCCTTGCCCCCACCTGGTCCTCTAGGCTTGGGATTTTACCTCTGCAGCATCTCCTGCTCCTGCCTGGAGAGCAGAGCACCTGGGCCCTTGGTGCTTCCCTGTGTCCTGTTGCCACTGGGTCCCCTACAGATGATACCAGGGAGCCTAGCATGAATCCCCTAGATGCTGCCGGAGCATCGTGCCAGCTTTCTTGAGCGCCACTGTCCTCGGCCCTCAGTGCACATTAGCGTCAACCGAGGCGCTCTAAAAATAAATGTGCAGCACTTGGACCCAGCCCAGCTCAGCTCATTTGTAATCACAGTGGCATGAGGCCTGGCCCTCATTTGGTTTCAGTGCCCTGCAGGTGAATCCAGTGCATGGCCAGAGCAGAGGACACAGGGCTCCCTGCCACTAGCTAATGGAAATGCAAACTCCCATGGAGAAACCAGGGCTGCCTCTGCCTCTCTTACCACTCAGCCCCAGCTGTGCTGGACACCCCGCTGCTGCTGCTCACCCTTCTCCTGGGCTTGCTCTTGAGAGTCTCGGGCTGCTCTATTCATTCACCCCAGGTCACCCGAAGTGGAAACACTGGGCACACCTCAAGGGCTGCTGCCTTCATGGAGACTTCCCTGAATCCTCCCTACACACTCACATACACACAGCCCGCGATACAGGCAGTCTAAGAGGAATTTAAGAGCTTTCCCAAATGCACCAGATACCTCCTGTCAGGCATTCAGTCCCTACCTGCTCATGGGGGCAACCCTCCCAGCACCTACTGAGAAGCCTTGCACAAAGCCAGGAGAGCAACATGGAGAAACACAGAGCCCCTCCCTTCCTCAGTGTCCAGGGCCTGAGACCCTGACAGTCCTGAGCAGCCACCCTCAGGCCTGCCCTCACCTGCTCTGTCATCACCCCATCTGTGCCATTTCAGTAGCTTGACCAGAGACCCTCGGTGGCACCTAGCAGCTGCCTGCAAATACCAAACTCGCATCCTACAGCTCCTGTTTGCCTAGGCAAACTGCATTAACTTAGCGAGCTGGTTTGGCCTCCCCTGCTTATGAATTACTAGATCCCACTGTGAACCTGCTCATCATGCAAAGAGCCAAGGATGGTGTGAGCACCCACACACAGGCCCAGGAACTCCCAGGGCCTGAAGGTGTGACCGCATGGCAGCATAATGACTGCTTTGGGAGCACATTTAAAACCCTTTGTCACTCAGCACTTTAGTAAAACAACTGATGATAAAATATACTGGCAACAGCAGAGATGAGTAAAAGCAGACGCCAACACACTGATGGCTCCAAGAAGATACTGTAGAGCTGTGAGCGAGCTCAGGGCACACATGCAGGTATCATGGTGAGCGCTGTGGCTGTCACTGTGCTGTGACTAAGAATCCATGAATACCTAGTGTCCCTCCTGGACTGCTGTTTGTGCCCAAGTCCGGAAGAAGCAGGTGTACCTGGATACTTGTGGAACAGGCTGACCCCATGTCCTGAGCTGTGTAGCTCTCTCTCAAGGAGAGATCAGAGAGAGGAGGGCAGGTGCACAGAATGCAGGCAACAAAGGCAGAGGGCGAGAAAGGAGTCCCAAAGCAAAGACAGTTCCTCCTGCAGGCGGCACCTGCCACGGCTGCATTCACCTTTGCTTCTGGGAGCCTTTCAGCCCATGCTGCCTCCACACCTGACCTGGCCAGTCACAGCCAGAACTCAGCTGTCCTTCCACTTTGTCGGGAGTCTGCACTGTATCACATGTGTTCAGTCAGCTCCCCACAAGTGTCTGCTAGGCATACCGAATCAGTTCCTGAGCCATCAGCCAGGTCTTTGTCAGAGTGCTCTCTAACTTAAAGGAATTTGGGTGATGGGGGATATAGTGAGAATAGGAAGTCGAATTGAAGAGATCGACTTTAGAATTTTGCATTTGGACTTGCATAGCCTGAGTTCAGATCTGCCCTGCTACTGACTGTGCATGTGTGTGGGTTGCCAAGATTCAACTCTAGCCTCATTTGTTTGGGGACTCACATCTTAGATGTAGAGTTTTTGCAGTTGGCCAAACACCCGGTGAGGACCTGGGGACTAGGAGAGGAGCGAGAGAGCAAGTTGACAGATCAGCACCCCTTGGCCATCCTCATGGCAATGCTGCACAGGACCACTGCCCACTCCAGCCCACTCCCTGCCAGGGGGCTTGGGAAGACCAGACGTAAGAAACTTCCCTAAAGCCAGAGCCTCAATCAGATGGAAGCTGTCTTGACACCACTATCCCCATGATCCAGGAAAGGCCTGGTGACAAAAGGACAGAAAAGACTGGAGCTCTGATTTCTGAGCTGTGAGGTGGTAAGGGCTATTTGAACAGCAAGCAAGTGAACGATGTGGAGTGTGTCTTCCTCCAGTGGTGGACTTGGTTTACCTGCAGGTGTATGTTCTAAATGAGACCTTTCAACTTGCTCTGCAGGTGGCTGAGTTTGTGCAGTCTCTTCTGGGCTGTGAAGAACAGGCTAAATGCTTCAGGAAAGAGGTGAGAGCTATAAACAATATATGCATCTCTGCTGCCATACCTCCAGAGGTGCTCTGTGTCCATTTACAGATGTGTACATAAAAGTTGCTTGTGGAAGCAAGAGTAGGGCCAATGTGGAAAGAGCCAGAAACGCAAGTGGGATATCAGGACTGCTCCCGTCTTGAGTTTTCTTATACCCAGCTTTTCTGTCACAGAGCTCTGTGGCACCTGGCTCACACGCCATGCTTTGTAAATACCCTGTACAAGATGATGTGTCTTTGCCACCTTCCATTTATGTAATTGAATATCACGGCGTGGGTAACTAATATAAGCTTACTTAGGTCACTGTTCTGGAAACAGGAAGGATTAGGTCAAGAGGCAGCATCTGGTGAGGGCACTCTTGCTTTGGGGACTCTGTAAGGTTCCGAGGAGGTTCAGAACATCACACGGATGAGGGGGGTGCATCCAAAAGCCGGAACTACCCTCACTTTTATAACAAATCCACACAAAAGATAACCTGTTACCTGAGGACAGAGCCCATCATGGCCTACTCTTCTGCATCCACATTTTGAAACGTCACAATGGGAACTGGACATCAATATAAATTTTGCTGATAACTTTCTAACCCTGGCAGTAATGAGTTAATACTTGCAGGTGTCATGAAGCATCCTCCTGATGGTGGCATTAAGCCTCCCTGTGGATGGGAGGGAGGGAATTGGGACGGAATACTTCCTGGGATTTCACTGGGATGCAGAGGGGATTTGTCCACTCCCAAGTAAGGATGGAACCATTCAGTCTGTCCCTGCCCTGCACCTGCTTTATGAGTGATGCATAGAAACCAAAAATATCTTCCTGTGGAGTTTCTGCTTTTTGCCTTTTGGCTAGTGGCATGCTGAACTGCTTAACATTTGGTCTTGGAATTAGTATCCATGATCAGGGCTGCAAAAGAGGTTACACCTACTGCAGAATAACAGTGAGCATGTTCATGCTGTTGACTGTTTACCTGGACTTGCCATGTGCATCCTCATAGTTGTAGAGCATTGATCCCCACCACAGCTCCATGATGGTGGCCCACCCAGGAAGGACCTGAGCTGTGGAAGGTTGGACACACTGAGGAAAAACGGTCAGATTCCAGAGCCTCAATTGCTGCTCTAGAACTCTGCCATTCTAGAAAGCAGCACACACCTCTCTGTGTTACGAATGCAGAGTACTCTTCAGAGCAAGTCCTTTAGGAGTTGGGAGTCCTGGATCCCTGAGTGCCCAGAGGGCAGCACAGCACCAAGCTCAGGTGGTATCAACCCAGGCAGTTGCCAAGGGCTCTGCCTGCCCATGACTGGCTCGGGTATGACCCTGACACACACATTCATACACACACAGTGCACTCTGCACATATGGCAGTGCCCAAGAACCCATCTTGTCCACTAGATTATCTATATGGGGGAGGAAAAATAGTGGCTCTTGGCACGTCAGAGTGCCCAAGCTTAACACTTCGAGTATTATAGTAGTTCTGTAAACATTAGCATCTTGTTGTTAGGACACCTGATTATGTAACAGGTGGCATTTTCCTGAAAATCCTGAGGTTGAATCCAGATCAAGATAATGGAAGTAGGGACATGCTCTCCTCTGCCTTGGGAAAAATATTCCACTCCCCACATGGATGAGACCTTAGGCACCATATGATTATTGCACAGAAAGCTTGCTAAAACTGTTTTAAAAGTTAAGACTCTTGCGTACCACCCAGGGGTCTCCTTCTCCCATAGCATCCCTATGTAAGGGTTGTGTACAAGTCATTACTGAACATCTGCAGTTGACAAAGGGTTAGAATCCTAGTGCTAGGGTCAGGAAGGGTGTTGCCATGGATATCTCATGTCTGCCTTTGTGGTTCTGAAACAGCAAATGAAGGAGATTCTGGATCCAGGAATCCTGAGCCAGGCTGGGTGCAAGTAAGTTGCATTGATGGAAGGACTTGCAGAAGACACAGGACCTTCAGGAGCTATGGATAAACAGCTCACTTGGTGGCGGGGTCACCTGTGATGGGGGAAGCCATTACATTTTAGGCTAAAACATATTTTCAATTAAAAAATATGTAATTGTTGGGGCTGGTTTTGTGGTGTAACAGGTTAAGCCAACACCTTGCAACACCAGCATCCCATCTGAGAAGTAGTTCAGGTCCCAGTTGCTCCACTTTGGATCCAGCTCCCAATAATGGACATGGAAAGAAGCACCTCCGCCCTCATGGGAGCCCAGCCCAACCATTGTAGCCATTTGGGGAGTGCAGCAGATACAGCAGATGTCTCGCTCCCTATCTCAGCCTTTATCTCTATAACTTTGGCTTATAAATAAATGAATAATATGCAATTTTCAAATTAAGATTAAATATATTCAAGGTATCCAACATGATGGATTGGTATGTATATACATTATGCAGTGATTGCTGCAGTGCCATTAGTGAACAAATCCATCACCATTCCTGATCTATATTAAACCCCAAACTTGCTCATCTGAATCCAGGAATCATTCTGAGCTAGTTTAAAATATAATTTAGGAATTAAAAAGGAAACAATTATTTTGTATACATTTCTACTAATATTGGGTAATACAGCTTTTTTACTTCATTTAGGAAAATCAAAGGAAAAAAAATAAGCAGCCCCCAGTATTTCATCAGCCAAAGATAGCTTCTCTCAATACTGTACATACAGACTGCAGATCTATTAAATATACATTTGTATAAATGTGACCGTGCATATATACTGTTGCAGACTAAATCTGACATCTTTCTGTAGCATCATATCTTGTTTTGTTGTGTAAGAGTTGATGAAAGATTTTCCAGGCCACTAAAAGCTTCACTGGGATGTGAATTGGGATGATGGTGGCTCCCCATCCCTGTCGTTATTGTAACCCTGGGTTGCGTCAGTGCCTGCCTGTTATGAATAAGACTGAGACATGTAACGTATTCTTGGAAGAAATTGCTAGAAATTTGCTTACTATCAATTCTTAAGTCTCTCAATACAGACTAAGATCAAGATTTTGAAAACATCACAACCAAAATGTAGCCTGGGAGCACTTTGTGTCTGTTGAGTTCATACTCACCAGGGTGCCATTTTAATCTAACTCAGCTTCAACTGAGCAGCCGGTGGAGGGAACCCTGAGGTCGCTGATCTCCTTCTGGGGCCATGAGCCCCCGTACCACCACACTGGGCACCAGGGAACAGGCCCACAAACAGGAGTGTTCATTTGTGTGTGTTTCCTTCTTTGTAGCAAATTGACGGCAAAGCCTTCCTGCTTCTGACACAGACGGACATCGTCAAAGTGATGAAGATCAAACTGGGCCCCGCACTGAAGATCTACAACGCCATCCTGATGTTCAAGAGCTCCCAGGATCTTACTGAGGAAGACCTTGCCCAAGGCCAGGTCAGGGCATAGCCAGCTCACAGGACTTCCGCAGGCACCAAGCCCCTTGGCAAGATGCGCGTTTTTTGATGTTGATGTCTCTGCTTCTGTCCCGCTTTCACCAGGGCATTCTGAAGTATCCTTGGGCTGTGTGTGCGGAGGACCCTGATGCCTGACCCCAGGCCTGTGGCTGCAGGTTGGGGCACAAGTTGAAGTTTAGGAAGGGCACCCTTGGGCAGGACCACCCGCTCTCATGTGCTGCAGCAAACAGACCAAAGAAGCCCCAGTCACACCCAATTCTCCCCTTACAACGGAAGAAAATTACGCCCCCCCCCCCATTTGCAAGCACACAGCTCTCTCATGGGCAAATGGTGGAGATGTGTCTTCAGAAACACTGAGGAGTATCTTCACCCACGCCACACCTGAGATGGCCCATCTGCCATCTGGGGGGCCACGGGTCCAAGAGAACAAGGCCTGGTGCTTTAAAAAGAGAGACAGAGACTTCATGGGAGATTTTTACATCTTTTACTCAGGAAAGTGTGAATCTTTAAAGATAACAGCAATAATAAGCACATATTTTCATTTCTTACTGTTCCATTATCTGTTTCCTGGTTTGCTCCCCACGGCCACCCGTGGTTTTCTGGAGTTTACAAGAAGGAGGAGAATAGCCGGGGCTAAGGTGAGAGCAAACTGTTGTGGGAGAGGGTGGGCGCGTTCAAAGCTGGCCTGACCCTGCTGAGGCCAGGGCACTTGCAGAGGGCCTCGGGGCATTGGTGGGTAGGCTGCCACCCACCTGGGCTACACCCCAAAGAGGTTGCTGCTGTACCTGTTTTATCCCGTGGGCTGTGGAATTTGTATTGCAGTGAGCTGTTACACCTGGGCCTATACACAGCTTTTAAACATTCGATCTCTAAGCTAAGGAGCTCGGTATCAATTTCTAAAAATTGTTATCAGTCCTTTTCCTTTTGGTACAAGTGTTTGTATCTGAGATTTCTGTGAGGAATCAATCCCACCAATTTTGAAGTCCTTAAATACCTCTTTGCTTACAGTTCTGGCTCCTGTCACACATAATAACGGCCACCCTCAGGGGAGGGCACAGTCATCACTTCCGAGTGGGAAGAGAAAGGCTATAACCAAGAAAAAAAGACTCAGCCCTGACTATCCATTTCCTTTGTTAAGAATGTTACAGTTTAAGAAAGTGGATCCTACTTCAGGAATTTCTGAAACTGTAGGTCCCTGTAGAAAGAATAAATTTTCTGAGGTGTGCGTTGATTCCAAGCCTTTCACTCCTTACAGAAATGGAATTTGAATACATTATTGTTTGCTGTTAATTTTATTTCTATGGAATTTGGTTTTGTTTGTTTGTTTGTTGTAAACAGCCATGTGCAATAAAAGTACCTGTTCTGCTCTGTTAAGATTTTAATATATTTTGAATGATAATAAACAGACAAAAGCTGCATCTGGTGAGTGTCTTAATTACTGTGCTGTCATGACCAATGCCTGCAGCGCAGCCTGGAGCATGCTTTCTCTGTGAGTGGAGAAGGACAGCAATGTGCACTGGCCAGCGAAGAAGTCAGCCACTTTTGGAGGGTCACATTCCTTAGGGGGTCTCCTGAGGCATCAATCATTTTTTTTTTAATTATGGAGAGCTGCAGAATTGCTCATTGTATAGGCTCCATGGTAAGCCAGAACTTTGTGGCTTGTATATCAGATACCGGCATTTCAACACGAGGATCCTGAACAGGCTCTCAGCAGGACGGCCAAATTAGGGTTGAACTGTTTTGTTCATGTGAGTTGGTGTGATCACCTAGGAAGAGAGTGGTCCCGCTGTCCAGCTGTCTGTTGGACGTCTGGCTTTGTCTCCCGGGGACCTCAAGCTTGACATTCAAAAGAGAACTTGGGGGACAGATGTTCTGTCACAGGAAGCTGCTGCTTGAGCTCCCCCAGCAGAGCGGCCGAACCTCTCTCATGTTCACTCCAGACAGGTGCAGTGGCTCAATTGGCTAGTGCTCCACCCACAAGGCCAGCATCCCACATGGGCGCTGGTTTGTGTCTCACCTGTTCACTGGCACACAGGAAACCTTTACTTGTGGATCAATGACTAAAGCAAGCCAACCTCCTCAGAAGCTCCACCTGCACCATTTCCTAAACAAACAGAACAGCTCTGAAAGAAGAAAACAACACCTACCCTAAGAGTTTTTCAGTATGACTTTGGGGGTGCCCACATGCTTGTGAAAGCCAACAGTTGGCACAACACATACTAGGGTGCTTCAGAGCATTCGTGGAAAACTGGAATTAAAAGACAAGTTTATTTTGGTGTGAAAGATGCTTTTAAATGCATGCAATTTTTTTTCCATGATACATAATTACCATGAACTTCTTAAAGAACCCTGGCATATGCAGATTTCACATCTAGTAATACCAGTTTGCACAACATCTGTGAAGCATTCACATAGCAGGTACTGACAGCTAAGAGCCGCCAAGAAGTAACATCAGGAAACCGCCAACAGCAATTCTTTTTCTAAGTCAGCAGTGGCTGAGCCTCTGAGACTCTCCCATGAACAGGCCCCATGAGTCCTTAGGCAAGCCTGTCCAGCCTTGGGCAGCCCTGCCAGGCCCTCCCTTCTTAGTGCCGCTCTATGCTGGAAGCCCAATGGCAGGTGTGGCCCATGCAGCTGTGAGGTCCCCATCCTCCCTGGTCTCACCTCTACTCACCTCAAGCTTCTGATCCAACTAACATCCCCTTCCTCAGTCCTGATGGGCCCCAGGAGGGAGTGTCCCATCACAGACTGAAGTGGTCCCTGTGCCAGGAGCAAACACTGCCCCACAGGGTCAGGCAGCGGCCTGCCCTGACAGACCCAGTCAAGCCTCTCACCGGACACAGCTTCTTCCTCTTACTTGCCTCCTCCTGACAGAACTGCAAAATGTACAGGCTTCTAGGTTATTAGGAGAAATTCCCCCAAAGGACCATTTGTCCAACACATGCTAAGTACACATCATGATGCTGGAAATTAGATCATTAGCAAGAATCCTAAGGGAGCCTAGGACTTCTGAGACTGTCATTTCAGATAACTTTAATAAAAATAATTTCTCTCACCACAGTCCTAGGATATTAAGAAATATATACCCTAATGGTCTCTGAGCACCCCTTTTCTTCCTCTGTGACTGGCAGTCCCGACCGTGTATAACCCACATTGTGAAGGCATGTCTAGGTGACAACACGGGAGATAGGGCCCTAGCCAGCTCAGGATCCCCACAAGGACACCGCGTCCTGGCTGAGTGCTGCCTTGCAGACATGCCTGGGCTGTCATAGGTGACTCATTCATGTCCACAGCATCCCTGTCTCTTGAGCAAGGGTGGAGGCAAGGAAGGATACCAGGAGGCACTTGGGCTTTAGATATGGTGCAGTTTTAAACCCACAGACCTGTGACTTGCCAGCTGCATGATCTAGAAACAACTTTCGACCACTCAGCAAAACACCAGCTCTCACCCACTCACTCAGTTTTTAGCTCTGCAACTCCCAGAGCTTAAAAAAATAATAATCTTCGGCCCGGCGGTGTGGCCTAGCAGCTAAAGTCCTCTCCTTGAACATGCCAGAATCCCATGTGGGTGCCAGTTCTAATCCCAGCAGCTCCGCTTCCCATCCAGCTCCCTGCCTGTGGCCTGGGAAAGCAGTCGAGGACGGCCCAAAGTTTTGGGACCCTGCATTCATGTGGGATACCCGTAAGAGGTTCCTGGATCCTGGCTTCGGATCGGCATAGCATTGGCCATTGTGCTCACTTGGAGAGTGAATCATCGGACGGAAGATCTTCCTCTCTGTCTCCACTCCTCTCTGTATATCTGACTTTCCAATAAATAAATAAATCTTTAAAAATAATAATCTTGACTGGGGCTGATGTGATGGCTCAATAGACTAACCTGCCTTGCAGCGTGGGCATCTCACATGGGCATCAGTTTGTGTTCCGGCTGATCCGTTTCCGATCCAGCTTCCTGCTTGTGGCCTAGGAAGGCAGTGGAGGATGGTCAAGTCTTTGGGCTTCTAAACCCCCATGGGAGACTTGGAAGAAGCTCCAGGCTCCTAGCTTAAAACCGGTCCAGCTCCAGCTGTTGTGACCATTTGGAGAGTGAACCAGCAAATGGAAGCTCTTTCTGTCTCTTCTTTTCTTTGTAATTATTTCTGCCTTTGAAATAAAAATAAAAAAATTTTTAAAAGAAAGACTATTATCTTGAATAGGAAGAGTTTCTATGACTATATGCTTAATATTTGAGAATATATATTCTCTATGAATATGTTCACTAACAAACATATTTCTCTCAAAAATTATTCCCATGAATATATTCATGGGGAATCTGTTTGTTAATAGATTCATGAATATTCCAAGTGTTTCTAAATCTTCTTACGAGTAAGTTTGTCAATGACACATTCATCACAAGTCTTTCTGCAAGATACATCCTTATTCTATCCCCTCAGCCTCTGTTTCGCTCTAGCCCTCCATCTGCAGGTGCAGCAGCAAGCTAGGCCAGTCCACATTCCCTTATATCATGCTGAGAAGACAAAATGAAAACTGTTCAACTGGAACTCTGGAGTTTGGTAAATTTGCTGACTGGGCCATTTGGGGAATTGGTGATCAGTAATTTGATTTCTCAGTGAAATTATCTGCTTCCAGCTCTTTACAACGTATCTTTCTCTTAGACAGATGACAGGTTTTGAATCCAATGATCAATAAAACACACTGCCTAGGCTGGTGTGGGCTGGGAAATCCATAGCCATGAAGAAGAGGGGCTGCTATGGGACGGAGCAGAAGGCCTTCCTCCGGCAACCAGTGTGTTGAGGAGCAAGGCTACGGTGTCCCAATCACCATTGGCTGGTGGTGGGATGTAGGAACAACCCAGAAGTGGAAAAAAGCCAGTGGGGGAGGTCATGGAGCAAAAAAAAAGTGTGAAACAGCTATTCAAAAGAGAATGGAAATTAAAAATGGCAGAAATGAGACTAAAAATATTGAGCTAACGTCTTTTCCTCCTAATACTTCTCT